CGGGCCCGACTAGGCGTGGGGTGCGCAGGTGGTGCCAGGAGCCTATCTCAGTGAGGCCCCGCTTCCTTGTCACGTCAGAACAAGAACGTGGTGGTGGCCGACTTCGGGCTGGCCCGGCTCATGGTGGAAGAGAAGACACAGCCCGAAGACCTGCGAAGCCTCAAGAAGCCGGACCGCAAAAAGCGATACACGGTGGTGGGCAACCCCTACTGGATGGCGCCCGAGATGATCAATGGTGAGTGGGCCGGCCCGCCCGTCACATCTGTCCAGGCCCAGCGGGTCCAGGCAGGTCTGCGGCCCCCCCAGTCCCCGGCCCCTGCCTCCTCCTCGGCTCCCTCCTTGGGTCCTGTGACTCCTTTCCTGTCCCGCTGTAACAAATCACCACCCGCTTGCCTTAAAAACCAAATTACCACCTAGTCCTGGGAGTGGGAAGTCAGCGTCGGTCTCGCCGGCCTGAAGTCAGGTGTCGGCTGGGCTGGGCTCCTTCTGGAGGCTCAAGGGGAGAACGTGTTTCCTTTCTGGCCTCTAAAGGCTGCCTCCATTCCTTGGCCTGAGGCCCCTGCCTCCGACGAAGGCTAGGACCCTGGCACCTTTTCTGACCTCTGTGTCCATTGTCAGGTCTCCTTCCGTGTCTGCCTCCCTCATAAGGACCTTTGTGGTTGTATCGTCCTCTGTCCATTTCCAGATCCTGAACCTAATCACACCGGCAAGGCCCATGCAAGGCGACATCTTCACGGGGCCCAGGGAGTAGGTGGTGGACAGCCTGGCCCGCCCGGGGCTTCTCTCCCACTCCATTTCTTTTTCATCAGGCCCCTCACCCAGTGACCCACATTTGGCCCACACGGTGCGCTATAAAGCCCCCGCCTGGGCAGGTGCACACATGGGGTCAGGGCGGGCAGGGCCGGGGGCATCTCGGCACCAACCCCACCCAGAGTTAACATAACCGCTGACTTAACCTGCAAAATGGGGCTCCCTGCTTTTAGGGGGGGCTGTGAGGCTCAGCTAAGGTTTGTAAACTAGTCAGAATCTGACACGTGAGAGCAGCCGTACGGGTTGTTTTTAATGTCCCACGGTAGATGGTCTTATTCCCTATGTCACAGCTGAAGAACCTGAGGCTCAGGGTCTGTGCCCATCCCTGGGGCTGCCATCAGCAGATTTCCACCAACTGGGCGGTTTAAAACAACAGAAATGTATTCTCTCATAGTTCTGGAAGCCAGAAGTCGGAAATCCAGGAGAGCCGTGCTCCTTCCAGGGATCTGAGGGGAGAACCCACTCCTTGCTGCTTCTAGCTGCCGGTGGCGGTCTCGGGCTCGTGGCCCCGCCGCCTCTCCCATGTCTCCTCCTCCTCAGTCTCTCTTAGGACACTTGTAGTGGTGCTTGGCGCCTGCCCAGATAATCCAGGATTCTCTCATTTCGAGATCCTTAGCGATCATATTGGCAAAAACCTTTTTTTCAATAAATGGTCACACGTCCCAGGGGTTTGACATGGATATTTTTCAAGGCCACCACATGGTCCATGACTTGCTTGGAGTCACAGCTGGTCAGTGGCCGAGCTGGGCCTGGAACCCCCTGCCCAGGGCTCTCATCCTCATCCCCCAAAGGTTTGCTCAGACCTGGTGGGGTCAGGGGGGGCGAGGGGGCGGAGTCTAAGCCCTGGGCCCTTGGAGGCTGCTGGCCTCCGCCTCCTGGCCTCGGCCGGCGGGCCGCCGATCCAGCCTCACCTGCTGACAGCCGGTCTCTTCACCCAGGCCGCAGCTATGACGAGAAGGTGGATGTGTTTTCCTTTGGAATCGTCCTGTGCGAGGTAGGTCCAGGGGCGGGCGGCAGTTGGCATGAGGCTTGGTGGCTCCTGTCCACTCCCGGGCTGCAGGCTGCAAGTCTGCAGGGGCCCCAGGTTGTGGGGGAGCTCCTGGGAACAGGGCTGCCCACAGCAACCTGCATCCCTGGGGGGCGTGGTGGTCAGGCGGGTGCCAGATCAAGTGTGACCTGTTCCCAGCCCCAGGGACCCCTCCCCCGCCCCCCGCCCCCGTGGGTAACTGCTGGGCCTTGTGCGGGACAGATCATTGGGCGGGTGAATGCGGATCCCGACTACCTGCCCCGCACCATGGACTTTGGCCTCAATGTGCGAGGCTTCCTGGACCGTTACTGCCCCCCAAACTGTCCACCGAGCTTTTTCCCCATCACTGTGCACTGCTGTGATCTGGACCCTGAGAAGAGGTAAGTGCGGTCGGGGCTCCGCCGGGAGCAGCCCTAGGGGTGGGGCCAGTCCCCCCGCCGCGGAGCAGAACCCACCACCCCACCCACGCGTCACCCAGGCCCTCCTTCGTGAAGCTGGAGCAGTGGCTGGAGACCCTCCGCATGCACTTGGCCGGCCACCTGCCACTGGGCCCGCAGCTAGAGCAGCTGGACAGGGGCTTCTGGGAGACCTACCGGCGCAGCGAGAGCGGACTGCCTGCCCACCCCGAGGTCCCCGACTGAGCCCCGGCCGCCCCCGTCCCCACCGCCGGCACCCACTCCTCTGCGGGTCGTGGCCGGCTGTGGAGCCCTCGGCCAGGCGGCAGGCGCCCAGACTCCTCCCCCAGTGCCAGGCCCCGACTAGCCTCCTCCGTCCCAGGGGCCGTGGCCCCTGCCCCATCTCTGCCCCTGGCCCCAGAGCTGGCCTGGCTGCATACACACCGTCACCTCGCCCTGCCTTACCTCTGTCTTGGTGGGGCCAGCCCCTCTCGCTTCTCCTCGCATGAGCTGGAGGGCCCGCGTGAGTCCCGCCCCATCCTGCACCCCGCCGCCCCCAGCCGTCCCATGCACACCCCATCTGTCCGCAGCCCCTCTGGGGCCGGGCTGGTAGACAGCCTCGGCCCGGGCCCACTGACGGCTGGGTACGTAGGGGAGGGCGCGGGGTGGGGGGGAGGCCGCGTTGCTGGGGTGAGTCAGCCCCCCGGCGGGGTGTCTCAGTAGCCACAGGTGTTGATAATTACCCAAACCCCCAAACACAGAGAGGTCTGCCCCGTGGAACGGAAGTCCCCGGTCGCTCAGCCACAGGCCTCTCTCGCTTTGGGTCCCCATTTCTTTCCTGAAGCCACTTTAGTGAGAAGCAGGGTGAAGGGAGGGTCCGCTGGGGGAGAAGGGAGTCGCGTCCCTGGGTCAGGGCTGCCGGGAGGAGCCACAGGGGGACGCTGGGCCGAGCGACGAGGCAGGTGTCCACCAGCATCCCAACCCCCGCAGTTCATCTCAGCACCCCTCCCGGGCTTCTCCCCCAGGCTCCCCCCGCCACCCACGGCCCTCTGTCCTCTGGGTTCTTTCTGTGTAATCTATTTTTTAAGGAGAATTTGTATTATTTTTTCATACGGCTGCAGCAGCTGCTGTCGGGGGGCTTGGGGTTTTATTTTTCTGGCGGGCGGGGGTGGGGGGGCCATTTTGTCACTTTGCCTCAGTTGAGCGTCTAGGAAGTATTAAAACTGTGAAGCCTTCTCAGTGCACTTTGAACCTGGAAAACAATCCAAACAGACCCATGGGACTACGAGTCCGGGAGGTGGGACGCGTCCCCTCCGTCCAGGAGTCGTGATGTCTAAAGAACAAAACCCAGACTCAGAACAATAAAGTAAATTCCATACTCCCCACCCAGATTCCCCGTTGCCATGTGTGTCTGGGGCCCCCGAGGATCCAGGAACGAGAGCGGCACTTTGTGACTAGAAGCCCGATAGGAAGACAAGAGTGGAGGGCAGGTGGGGACAGGCGCAGGGCGGGAGGGGGGGGACCGCCCAGCCACTCGAGTGGAGACTTCTCCAAGGCTGGGCTTGGGAGCGGGGAGATACTAGGGAATGTATTGCTTTCATATAATAGTAAATGTTCTCTTCTTTCTAAAACTTAAGGGATCCAGTCAGGAAAACAAATCGCACTAGCTCTTTGACATAGAGAGCGTTTGATACAGGGGATTGTTTCACGCAGCGGCTGAAAGTCCGTGTGGAAGGGTAGAAAGCAGATACTGGGCTAACCAGAGATGGTGAACTTCGGGAAGCAGCTACCGCGCCCCTGGCAGGGGCATTTAGGAAAGAGGGGGTTACTTTAGCCATCTGGGGTTGGCATATCAAATCACCCCTTAAACTCAGCGGCTTGAAAGAACAGTGATCGCTCATGACTTTGTCAAGAATTTGGGAGCAGCTTGGGTGAGTGGTTTTGGTCACATACTGTCTGGGCTGCAGTCCTCTGAGGATGTGACTGGAGCTGGAGGGTCCACTTCCTCCCATGGCTGCAGGTTGATGCTGGCTGCTGACCAGAGGCCTCAGTGCCTGTCAGGGCCTCTCCACAGGGCTCCCTGAGTGTCCCTGCAGCATCCTCTAGAGCAAGCATCCCAACAGAGCCAAGCAGAAGCTCTACTGCCTAGTCTCAGAAGCCTCAGCATTATTTCCACCACATTCCACTGATCACACGGGCCAACCCTGATTCAGTGTGGGAGGGGACTACACAAGGCCACGAATACCTGTACCAGAAGGGATCTCTGGGGCTCATCTGGGAAGCTGGCTAGGACCTTGGAGGGAGGAGCCCTGTGAGACCAGTGCTTGAATTTTTTAAGGTTTTTTTTTTTGAGGGGCGCCTGGGTGGCTCAGTTGGTGAAGCATCTGCCTTTGGCTCAGGTCATGATTTCAGGGTCCTGGGATCGAGCCCTGCATGGGGGGCTCCCTGCTCAGCAGGGAGCCTGCTTCTCCCTCTCCCTCTGCCCCCGCCCCGTGCACTCTCTCAAATAAATAATCTTTATTAAAAAAAAAATTTTTTTTTTTAAAGATTTTATTTATTTATTTGAGAGCGAGAAAGAGAGAGAGAGAGCACGAGAGGGAAGAGGGTCAGAGGGAGAAGCAGACTCCCTGCCGAGCAGGGAGCCCGATGCGGGACTCGATCCCGGGACTCCAGGATCATGACCTGAGCCGAAGGCAGTCGCTTAACCAACTGAGCCACCCAGGCGCCCCCCCAAATTTTTTTTTTTTGAGAGGGAGAGCACGCACAAGCAGGGGAGGGGCAGAGGGAGAGAGAATCTTAAGCAGGCTCCACACCCAGCAGGGAGCTCACGACCCTGAGATCATGACCTGAGCCAAAATCAAAGAGTCTGGCGTTTAACCGACGGAGCCACCCAGGCGCCCCTGCAGTGCTTGGATCTTTGATGTGTGTTGTGGGGGGAAAGGCTGGATTCTAAGCAGTTGATGCTGGAACTTCTAAGAAGGTGGGTGCAAAAATGGTCATTGCTGGAGCCCAAATCTGCCACTGCTGACTAGTGTGGGAGAGCACAAGAACGAGAAAGTCCCTTAGCTTGTTTCACTTCCAGGTCTCCCCCTGCTGCCAGGGAAGCCTGGGAAATGTAGTTTTCAGCTGTCCAGCAACAGCATCACAGAGAATGGAGTGGGTGTGGGCCTGAGACAGAGTAACCAGCCCAGTCCACCTCTTTGGCTGCTCGTCACATGTACACATCTTTCTCCTGTATTCGATTTCCATATGACTCTAACAGCTTTGTGCTTCCCCCCAACTAGGAGTGAGGATTCTTTGTGCACCCATCGTTCTCTTCCTAAAAGGGAGGGACAGCAGCATGCTGGGGTCACCATATCCACCACTCGGACTCCCCTTGAGTGTTGTGTAACTTAAATAATGAAGTTCACCATCCTCATCAATACGTTTACATCAAATAAGGGAAGTGGCGGGGTGGGGGGGAAGTTAGTTGATGGACACAGAAGCAAAGAAGAAAATACCCAGAGCTGCTGTGTTCCTCACTTCCCCAAACCGGTTCTCATGTCATAATTCGATTTTTTAACCCTTATAATGAGATACAATTCACATGCAAGTCACCTACTTACAAGATAGTTTCTAATATCTTCACAGAGTTCTGCGACCACACCACAGTTTAATTTTAGAACATTTTCATCACTGTCTTGACAGTGTCCTTTGATGCACAGAAGTTTTAAATGGTGATGAGGTGGGCAGATGGCTTAAAAGACACAAACAACCAAAACTCACCAAAGAAGAAATAGAAAATGTGATCGATTGTTTATTTACCAAATGAACTGAATTTATAGTTCAAAACATTCAGAAAAGGAAAACTTCAGGCCCAGAAGGTGTTACTGGCAAATTTAAAGGAGGAATTCTACACAAGTTCTTCTAGAAAATAGAAGAGAAGGGAGCACTCCTTAATTCGTCTTATGAGCTCAGAATTACCCTGACACCAAAATCAGATACAGGATAAGAAGAGAACAATTTCACATCAATATCATTCAGGAATAGAAAAGCAAAAGTCTTCGGCGAAGTATTAGCAGATAGAATCTAGGGCTGTCTAAAAACAATATACTATGACCACACAGGCTTTATGCCAGGAATGTACTAGCAGTCCCAATATTTTATTTTATTTTTATTTTTATTTTTTAAAGATTTTATTTATTTACTTGACAGAGAGCGACACAGCGAGAGAGGGAACACAAGCAGGGGGAGTGGGAGAGGGAGAAGCAGGCTCCCCGCAGAGCAGGGAGCCCGATGCGGGACTCGATCCCAGGACCCTGGGATCATGACCCAAGCCGAAGGCAGTCGCTTAACCAACTGAGCCACCCAGGCGCCCAGCAGTCCCAATATTTTAATCAATCCATGGAAAAACCACAGCGATACACCACTTCACACCCACCAGGATGACCATAATCTTTTGAAAGAAAGAAAAGGAGTGTGGGAGAGGATGTGGAGAAATTGGAACACATGCTGATGTGAATATAAAATAACGCAGCTACAGTGTAGAACAATTTGGCAGTTGCTCAAAATGTTAAACACAGAGTTACCATTTGATTCTGCAGTTCTCTCAGGTATATGAACAGGAGAAATGAGAACATACATACACACGGAAACTCGCAGGTGGAGTTCATAGGAGCCAAAAAGTGGGAACAACCCAAATGTCCATCGGTGGATGAATGCGTAAACATCTGGCATGTCCACACAATGGAATATTACTCTGCCTTAAGAAGGAGTGAAATACTAATGCACACTACAACAAGGATGAAAACACTAGGCTAAGAGAAAGAAGCCAGACAGAAGAGCTCACGTGTTGATTCTGTGTACATGAAGGGTCCAGGCAAATCCACGGAGACAGGAAGTAGATTCATGGGGGAAGAGAGGATGGGGAGTGACTGCTAATGCGTATGGCGTTTATTTGGGGGATGAAGAAAATGTTCCAGAATTCGATAGTGGTGATGGTTGCACAACCCTGCAAACATACTAAAAACCACTGAATTATACACTTAAAATGGTAAATTTTAAGGTGTGTGAATTATGTCGCAGTTTTTAAAATCATAATATTAGATGATACCAAGTGACGCTGAAAGCATCTGGCAAAAATTCAACATCCATTCCTGGTTTGGTTTTTTTTTTTTTTTAAGATTTTATTTATGTTTTCAACAGAGAACGATCGAGCGGGAGGGAGAGGGAGAAGCAGGCTCCCCGCTGAGCAGGGAGCCCAATGCAGGGCTTGATCCCAGGACCCTGGGATCATGACCTGAGCTGAAGGCAGGCGCTTAACCAACTGAGCCACCCAGGCGCCCCCATTCCTGGTTTAAAAAAAAGAAAATCTCAGCAAATCAAAAATACGAGGTAACGTCCTTAAATTGATTTAAAGGCTACAGAAAAACCCACAGCTAACATTATACTTAATGGTGAAAGAATATGTGCTTTCTTCCTGAGATCAGGAAAAAGGCAAGGACGTCCATCCAGCCTCACCACTCCTAGTCACCATTGTTCTGGAAGTCCTGGTCATTGCAGGAAGACAAGGAAGTGAACAAGAAGTAAATGTGTACAGGGCACCTGGCTGGCTCAGTCGGTAGAGCATGTGACTCTTGATCTCAGGGGGTTATGAGTTCAAACCCCACATTTGGTGTAGCGATTACTTAAAAATAAAATATTTTAAAAAATAAAGGGGGCGCCTGGGTGGCTCAGTCGGTTAAGCGTCTGCCTTCGGCTCAGGTCATGATTTCAGGGTCCTGGGATTGAGTCCCGCATCGGGCTCCCTGCTCAACAGGGAGTCTGCTTCTCCCTCTGCCTGCCACTCCCCCTGCTTGTGCTCTCTCTCTCTGTGTCAAATAAATAAAATCTTTAAAAAAAAATAAATAAGGGGCACCTGGGTGGCTCAGTCGTTAAGCATCTGCCTTCGGCTCAGGTCATGATCCCAGGGTCCTTGGATCAAGCCCCGCATCGGGCTCCCTGCTCGGCGGGAGGCCTGCTTCTCCTTCTCCCACTCCCCCTGCTTGTGTTCCCTCTCTCACTGTGTCTCTCCCTGTCAAATAAATAAATAAAATCTTCTAAAAAAATAAGTAAAACTTAAAAAGATGCTTCACATCACTAGTCACAGAGATATGCAAATTAAAGCTGTAATGAGGGGCACCTGGGTGGCTCAGTCGTTAAGCGTTTGCCTTCAGCTCAGGTCATGATCCCAGGGTCCTGGGATCGAGCCCCGCATCATGCTCCCTGCTCGGCAGGAAGCCTGCTTCTCCCTCTCCCACTCCCCCTGCTTGTGTTCCCTCTCTCGCTGTGTCTCTCTCTGTCAAATAAATAAAATCTTAAAAAAAAAAAAAAAAGCTGTAATGAGGTGCAACTCACACCTGTTAGAATGGCTAGCATTTTTAGAACTGACAATACCAAGTGTCGGTGACTATGTGAAGCAACTGGAACTCTCGCATACTGGTAGCAAGAATGCCAAATAACATGGTCACTCTGTATTCCCACAAAGATTTTTTTTTTAATTTATTTCTTTGACAGAAAGATAGCAAGAGCAGGAACACAAGCAGGGGGAGTGGGAGAGGGAGAGGGAGAAGCAGGCTCCCTGCCGAGCAGGGAGGCCGATGCGGGGATCAATCCCTGGACCCAGATCATGACTTGAGTGGAAGGCAGATGCTTAACGACTGAGCCACCCAGGTGCCCCTATTCCCACAAAGTTAAACATACACTTACCATATACTTCCCATGCAATGCTGCAATCCCACTCCTAGGTATTTACCCTAGAGAAATTAAAAGTTATGTTCACACACTCCCTGTAAGTACATGGATGTTTCTAAAAGCTCTATTCATAATTGCCAAAATCTGGTAACAACCCAACTTCCCTTTAACAAGAAAATGAAGACTGTAATTGGTACATGCAGTAACATGGATAAATCTCAAAAGAACTGTGCTGAGTGAAAGAAGCCAGTCTCAAAAGATCACATACAGTAGACTTCCCTTTATACGATTTTCTAAAGACAATAGGGATGGAAATCAATAGGGGCCAGGGATGAAGGTGAAGCAAGGATTTGACTACAAGGGGCAGCAAGAGGAAGTTTTTTGAGGATGACTGAACTGTTTTGTATCCTATTGTGGTGGTGGTTATATGAATCTAAATGTGTTAAAAACACATAAAGCTGGGGGAGCCTCGCTGGCTCAGTCCGTAGAGCATGCGAATCTTTTTTTTTTTTTTAAGATTTTTTTTTTTTTTTTTTTTGAGAGAGCGAGAATGAGAGAGAGAGTACATGAGAGGGGGGAGAGTTAGAGGGAGAAGCAGGCTCCTCGCTGAGCAGGGAGCCCAATGCGGGACTTGATCCTGGGACTCCAGGATCATGACCTGAGCCAAAGGCAGTCGCTTAACCAACTGAGCCACCCAGGCGCCCAGAGCATGTGATTCTTAATCTCAGGATCATGAGTTTGAACCCCACATTGGGGGTAGAGTTTACTTTAAAAAAAAAACAAAAAAACACACATTGAGCTGTAAGCAGAAAAAGAAGTCAATTTTACTCTATGTAAAGTTTTTAAATAATAGTTTTTAAAAATCTAACCAGAGCAGATGGAAGCCAGAAGAAAATATTTGCAACATATAGAAAATGTTTGCAAACAGTGTGACAAAGAATTCTATAATATATAAAGTGTTCCTACCAAAAAAGAGAGAGACTATCAAACTGGATTTTTAAAAAAATTTATATGCTGTTTATTTTTTTATTTTTTAAAGATTTTATTTATTTATTTGACAGAGAGACACAGTGAGAGAGGGAACACAAGCGGGGTGTGGGGGAGAGGGAGAAGCAGGCTTGCTGCTGAGCAGGGAGCCCGATGCGGGGCTCGATCCTAGGATCTTGAGATCATGACCTGAGCCAAAGGCAGACGCTTAACGACTGAGCCACCCAGGTGCCCCTTATATGCTGTTTATAAGAAACAAACTTGAAATTTAATGATAGAGTACGTTAAAAGTAAAAGGATGGAAAAAGACATACCACACAAACACTAATTTTTTTAAGCTGGCTTGGCTATATTTAGATTTGATTCACTTTGATTAATATCAAAGTAGTCTAAAGAACTGTGAAAATGAAAAAAAAAGAACTGTGAAAATGATTAAGGATAAAGAGCGATTTACATAATAATAAAAGCGCCAACTAACCAAGAGGGCATAACTATCTAAAATGTGTGTGCACCTATGGGCACCTGGGTAGCACAGTAGGTTAAGCGACCGACTCTTGGTTTTGGCTCAAGTTGTGATCTCAGGGTCGTGAGATCAAGCCCCACAACCAGCTCCGCACCCCAAGACAGGCATCGGGTTCTGCGCCTCCGCATCAGGCTCCGTGCTGAGCACAGAGTCCGCTTCGGGCTTCTCCCTCTCCCTCTGTCCCCCCCCCTTCAAAAAAATGCGTATGCATCTAAAAACATTTTTTTGAAATACATGAAGCGAAAACTAGAACTAAGAGGAAAAATCAACATCACACCCACTTTCCAGCCATGTGAAATAGTACCTTTGAATGGATCCTCCAGCCTAGTGAAGCCCTCAGCGGACTGTGAGCCCAGCCAGTCTCGTGACTGCAAACTTAGGAGAGACCCAGAGCCAGAACTGTCCGGATAAGCCACTTCTGAATTCTAGGCCCGAAGAAACTGTGAGACAGAAACGTTTAATTATTATGTTCAGCCACTAAATTCTAGAGTCATTTGTTACACAGCAATAGACAACTGATAGAGCCACCAAAAAACCTGTCTGGTTCTTTGACCAGGACTTTAAAGCCCCAAGCTCATCCTTTTCTTTCCGAACGGTTTTCCTTAGCCATTTTTTTTTTTTAAGATTTTATTTATTTATTTGACAGAGACAGAGACAGCGAGAGCAGGAACACAAGCAGGGGGAGTGGGAGAGGGAGAGGGAGAAGCAGGCCTCCCGCCGAGCAGGGAGCCCAATGTAGGACTCGATCCCAGGACCCTGGGATCATGATCTGAGCCGAAGACAGTCGCTTAACCAACTGAGCCACCCAGGCGCCCCTTCCTTAGCCATTTGTTTCCACACTACATTGGGTTATCGAACTAGGTTATCTAATTCATTGGGTAGATTATCCGGGCTCTTTATGGTCTCTTTATGCCAGCAGATACCAGAATCCCATTTAAATTGGCAAGATGCTCTGTGTTCAAGGTCAAAAATCTAACCAAATTAATTTCACAATCCCATTTTGAAGGTCCATTTCTCTTTCCTGCTGGTTTCCTTCTAACTTCTGACAGTGGGAGGCACTAAAGGGACCTTGCAAAATGGACAAAGAGGAGAAAGGACTTCCTTCCAGTTTTCCAGGGGTTGTCTGTATTTCTCAAATAGCAGCAACCACTTGGTTTCTGCCCCCAACCACTTGCAGGATGCAGAGCCCAAGCTGCCCATAGTTCTCTCTTTAGTGGTCCGAGCACCCCCTGCAGGACACACCACCTCCTCTGTAGTCTGGGCACCAGTCAAGGGCATCCTTTCCTTAGGGTCCTGAACACCAGTTAGAGCTCTTAGCCCTGGTAAATCGTAAGTTTTTGTTTCCCTTATCCTGACTGGTCCCTAATTGCTACAGTACTTGGTACTGGAATGGGGTTGAAATATTTGCTGGATAAATTAATGAATAAAATAATGTGTAATTGAACTTGAGCAAGATCTAGGACTCTCAGCTGCCATCTTACCTTGAGGATGAAGAGCTGAATTATTCATTCAGTAATTACATCATTCAACATTCACTCTCTGTCTACGCTAACCTCTCGACCACTCCATCAAACAAGTCCATCAGCCCCTTTCTATTTCTCCTTCTTAGCACTGTAAATTTCAGTAAGACTCAGACTTCACAACCCTCTGTTTGAATAAGAAATCCAACAGATTTGGAGTTTTATTAATTTTTTTTGCAGGTGGGGAAAGGAAAAAAAGTGTCAATGATCCTGTCCTGACTTAACAAAAAGAACCTTAATTATTTGTATTTTTATATACATCAAAAGTACATACATCAAATTAACCATCATTACAAGGGCAACAAGTTATTAAATAACTAGAATGCCGACTTTTGGGGATTACTGGTTAGAGTTCACAGAATATAGCAAAACACCCTGAAGTCTGCATGTCTTAAAAGACTCATTCAAGGGCGCCTGGGTGGCTCAGTCGGTTAAGCGACTGCCTTCGGCTCAGGTCATGATCCTGGAGTCCCGGGATCGAGTCCCGCATCGGGCTCCCTGCTCGGCGGGGAGTCTGCTTCTCCCTCTGACCCTCCTCCCTCTCATGCTCTCTGTCTCTCATTCTCTCTCTCTCAAATAAATAAATAAAATCTTAAAAAAAAAAAAGACTCATTCAAAAAAACTGCACTACTAGAAGGGGATTATACATTTGCGTACTCTCATGTCAGTCAGGAGTGCAGAAGTGATACTTTGTGAATGCTCTCAATTTACTACTTTATCAGAAACCGCTTTATAACACTCAATGTCTGCATTTGTGCAGCTGAAGGACAACAGCACATGTTTTATACCTAAGATTTTGTTCTAAGATTTATTTATTTGAGACAGAAAGGGAGCACAGGGAGGGGCAGAGGGAGAGGGAGAGAAATCCTCAAGCAGACTCCCTGCTGACCACGGAGCCTGAGGCAGGGCTCGATCCCAGGACCCCGAGATCATGACCTGAGCTGAAATCAAGAGTTAGACATTTAACCGACTGAGCCACCCAGGTGCCCCAGATTTTCTTGATTGGCAGCATCTTCAAGCCTACTCCTTAAAATTCTATTAATTAGCACTGGGGAAAAAAAGACCTAATAAGCCTAAAATATAAAATATGGAAAACAAACTGCCAAGATAATTCTTAGGCAAAATTTACACACAGTGACATGCACAAATCTTAAGTGCCCAATTTGAAGAATACATGTCTAATAAATGTATACACTCAGGTAGCCACCATGCCAATCAAGATAGAGAACATTTCCATAGCTCCAGAAAGTTCCCTTGGGGCTTTTCCTATCAAGCCCCACCATTACCACCCCAGAGGCAACCACTGTTACGATTTTTATCACCCTAGAACACATTTGCCCGTTCTTGAACTTCAAATAAAGGAAAGCAGACAGCATGTACTCTTTTATGTCTGGCCCCTTTTGTTCAACCTAATTCTTTCCAGGTGTATCCATGCTGTTGAGTCCAGTTGTATTTTATTCTTTGCATTGCTCATTTGGATCCCATTGAATGAATATACTACTATTTGTTTCTGCATTCTTCTGTTAGTGGACATGGTGGTTGTTCCTGGGCTTTGGCTATTACACATTCATACACGAATCATTGTAAGGACATATGTTTTCATTTCTATGGAATAAATACCCAGGAGTAGAATTGCTGGGTCCTGTGGTTAAGTGTATGCTTCACTTTATAAGAAACTGCCAAAATGGCTGTAGCCTTGTTTAACTTCCACCAGCAACATCAGAGTTCTTGTTTCTCTACAATGGCAGGAGGTATCATCCGTCTTTCTAATTTTAGCCACTGGCATCTCATTGTGAATTTAATATGCATTGCTCCAGTGACCAATTATTTTTTTTTTTTTAAGATTTTTTTTATTTATTTGACAGAGAGAGACACAGCGAGAGAGGGAACACAAGCAGGGGGAGGGGGAGAGGGAGAAGCAGGCTTCCCGTGGAGCAGGGAGCCCAATGTGGGACTCGATCCCGGGACTCCAAGATCATGACCTGAGCCGAAGGCAGTCGCTTAACCGACTGAGCCACCCAGGCGCCCTCCAGTGACCAATTATTTTAAGCATCTTCTTCTTTGCTTATTTGCCACCTATATATTTCCTTTGGCCAAGTACCTGTTCAAAAGTTTGCCATTTCCTGTTGGTTTTGTTCTTTGTATTATTGAGTTGTAGGAGTTCTTTAGATATTCTGGGTCCAAGTCCTTAATCCATCTGTTGAAAAGCTACCCTTTCCCTGCTTCTTACATTTTGAAGCTCTGTTATTGGGGACCTACAGATTTAGGATAGCTGTGTCTTCTTAATGAATCGACCTTTTTATCATCATGAAATGTTCTTTATCTCTGATATTAATGTAGCCATTTCCACCTTTCTTGGGATTGGTGGTTACGTGGTGTATCTTTCTGTGTGCTTTTACTTTCAACCTGTGTCTTTACATTTAAACTGCATCTCTTGCAAACAGCATATGATTTGCTCTTCTTTTGTTACCCAACTTTTCAAACTCTGCCTTTAGTAACATTTTATCCACTTACATTTGATATCTTTATTAATGTGATAGTTACTGCTTTTATTTTCTATTTGTCCATCTGATCTTCGTTCCTGTATTCTTTTTCTGCCTTTTTCAGATTAATTAAGTTCTTTGGCTTTTTTTACAATTGCATTTTATCTCCTTCTTTGGCTTTTTAGTTCTCCCTCTCTGTATGTTATTGTTTTTTAAATACTTTATTTATTTACTTTTAAAGAGAGAGAGAACACATACACATGAGCAGGGGGAGGGGCAGAGGGAGAGGGAGAGAGAGAATCCCAAGCAGGCTCCACGCTCAGCATGGAGCCAATGCAGGGCTCGATCCCACAACCCCGAGATCATGACCTGAGTCAAAATTAAGAATCAGATGCTCAACCAACTGGGCACCACCCAGGCACCCCCACTCTCTGTATGTTTTATTGATTGCTCTAGAAATTACAAAACTAACCCTTAACTCAGTTTACCTTGAATTAATGTTTATCGCTTCACACATAATATAAGGACCTCCCACCAGTGTAACTCCTCTACCTATTCCCATCCTTTGGGCAATTATTACAGTATGTTTTACTTCTACATATGCTATAAACCTCACCATACAATGTTAGTATTTTTTTTTTTTTTGCTTTACCACCAATTTCCTTAAATAAATCAAGAAAAGTTAAAAAAATAATCTTTTACCTACAGAGTTACAATTTTTGGTTCTCTTCATCCCTTTCCTTTAGAGCTGAGTTTCCATCTGGTATCATTTCCCCTCTGATAAACAGCCTATTACAATTTCATACTGCATGTCTGCTAGAGACAAAATTCCTCTCCTTTCATTGTAAAAGTCTTTATTTTACCTCAGTTTTTCTTTTTTTAGAGACAGAAAGCATGCACATGAGTGAAGGGTGAGGGAGAGGGAGAGAGAATTTTAAGCAGGCTCAACACCCAGTGTGGAGCCCAACTCGGGGCTGATCTCACGACCCTGAGATTATGACCTGAGCCAAAATCAAGTCAGACACTTAACCGACTGAACCACCCAGGTGCCCCCGACCTTCATTTTTGAAAGCTATTTCACTGGGCATAGAATTCTAGGCTGACAGGTTGTATGTTCAGCCTTTATACACGTCTTCCTATTGTCTTCTGGCTTCCACTATTTCTAATTAGGTGTTAGCCATTATTCTTATTGTTCTCTTGAATGTTCTGTCTTTTTCCTTTGTCTCTTTTTCAGATTTTCTCTTTACCTTTGGTTTTCAGCAGCTTAGGTGTGATTTTCTGTGTATTTATTCAGTTTGGGCTTCATGAAGTTTTTTAAATCAATGGATTAATGTTTTTCATCGAAGTTGGAAAATTTGGTTCACTTCCAGGATAGCCAAGTAAGCACTTAACAAACCTGACATTCCCACAGATAACAACTGAAAACTCTAGACAAAT